CCAACAATTTTAAAAAGTATGCCATTGCTTTGGTAAACTTGGTTTACCATACTACTGGAGTTTCCCTACCTCAGTGTTGAGTGAACTAAATGTGTTTTTGTTTAGGGGCTCAGCTGAATACTAATGTGTTTAATAAATACAGATAATTGGCTAGTGCTGGCTAGATACCCTTATGTTAAAAAAAAGGAAATGAATCTGGCTGGGGGTGGTGGCTCATACCTCTAATCCTAGTACTCTGGGAGGCTGAGGTAGGTGGATTGCCTGAAATCACAGGTTTGAGACCAACCTGAGCAAGAGTGAGACCCCATAGGCGGCACCTATGGCTCAGTGAGTAGGGTGCTGGTCCCATATACCAAGGGTGGCAGGTCCGATTCTGGTCCTGGCCAAACTGGAACAAAAAAAATAGCCAGGTGTTCTGGCAGGTGCCTGTAGTCCCAGCTACTCACGAGGCTGAGGCAAAGTATCTGGGTTGCTATGAGCTGTGATGCCATAGCACTCTACAGAGAGTGACATAGTGAGACGTTCAAAAAAAAAAAAAAAAGGACCAGTCTGGGCAATTTGGGGAGACCCCCCACCCCACTCTCTTAAAAAAAAAGAAAAAAAGTTATTCTTGGTATAGACCTAGGTTATCAGAAGCAAAATAGCCATGCCAAGAGAGTCTTGCCAGAAGGAATATTTTACCCTACCAACCTTGAGAGGCTGAACAATCATTGTTCTAGGTCTTCTGTTAAGCCTCTCCCTTTTCTGGAGTAATGCAGCTAATTATGCAGTTGATACCAGAGAGAAGTGCTGAGTGCTGCTTGGTTGGTAGTTGATACTTATAGTGCCTGAAATCTTATCCTTGCCAAGATCAGAAATGTAACCTTTTCGCTCACAAGACCTTATTAATCAAAATTTGTGGTTTAAAAAGCATTTAGAAATGTACTGTTGATTTTTTTTTTAACCAAATAAGAAACATATCCTAGACTTGAAAAGGGGTTTACACGTAAACAGTTCTTGGGTCTAGTTACTGCATAGAGATTAGATGGAGAAGTGATATTTAAACTAAATCTTAAGAAGGCCCAACTTAACAAGGTAAAACCCTGGCTTTTGCATGCAACATTTTGTTGTGGGAAAGACAGTCATTTCAAATTTATAGGCATTTCGATGTGATTGG